AATAGTTGTTTTTCGGTGTAGTTTGGGTGTTGATGGTTGACGGAACCGATCGCATGCGTATGTAATTTTCCGTCGAAGAGATAAGGTGGTTTCTGATCTTCAAATAATAAAAGCATAGCCTCTAGAAATTGCCCATGCATAGATAGCCAAAAAGAGGGCCTCTTCTGATAAATATACACCTTCGGGAGGCAGGCAATCGTCCGGAAACGAAGACATTTTGGTATGTAAAGGTGAAGGTAGTGATTCCGGCAGTAGGTCCAGCGGGGTGAGATGAAATCCGCCCGGTGGTTGTTGACTAAGCAGGGACCCGTGAGTGTACGGTCCCGCGAACCTATTGGGCCCCACCCACTCAATTGAAGGCTGAGGTTGAGTGGATTGCGTTGATCGCCACCCTGTATCATACGTATGACTTGTCATGTCTATGTCAGGGGCAAAGGGACACAGCATGAACAAATGTGCCTTGGGGGCCTACGGGGGCTCAAGATGAGGCTACTAGGTGTATATACGTTAAGGGCTAGAGATTGTCTCCTAGGACTGGGAGGCCGACTTCGAGCTCTACTGTAAGGAGAACAATATCGTTACACTCAGCGCCGAGTACGTATATCAAAGGCCGAATCTCTCGTCTCCCTGAGAGCTCCCCAACGGTACTATTAGATGCTGTTGAATATCTTGCGAAGGGGACGCGAGGTGTTATGCATCAGATGGCCTTCTCCGACCGATGGTCAAGACTCTTGAGGATGTGAATGCTACCCTTAGCCGGCGGCGGAGGACAAGAAACTACGTCTCCGAAAAGAGGAAGCATGACTCTAGGCGAAGGCAGGGTAGAAGTGCCTAGAAGGAGGTTGATATCCAGATAAAGCAGGAAACAACAGAACTCTCGCGTCCGGGGCCCAACCGAAAAAGTGGTGCTGTGGCGTCTGCGGCAAGACTAGTCATAACGCGAGAACTTGTCAGATAGTCCTCCCATTACCTATTGAAGACGATTAGGAACGTTTTCAATCGATTTTCAGGCGTTTGGATTGACCTGTTGACTAGAATGGTGGCAAGGTAGAGGTCGGGCGGACCACTCGCTTGTGGCTTGTCGCTCCATGGCCCCACATGCGGATTCGGTCTCCACCTACGTTTTCCTAGCCCCACTTACGGGTGGCGCGACCCCACGGTATACTCAAATCATCTATCATTGCTGTGGCTGCGCTTATGGAAAACGACGTTGGGGGCTTGACTGACATGCTTACAATGGCCAATGCAAGCTTGTCGGATGCCAGTCCAATGCTTGCGCTCCGGCTAGATACACAACTCCCAAAACTGGCATTCAGTCTGTACCTGTCATCCTGTCGTACCTGTCATGCTGTCGTGCCTGTCATGCTGTCGTACCTGTCATTCCTGTCATGCTGTCGTGCCTGTCATGACTATCATGCTTGTTGTACCTGTCATCCTGTCGTGCCTGTCATGCTGTCATGCCTGTCATTCAGTCTGTACCTGTCGTACGTGTCATGCTGTCATGCCTGTCATTCAAGTTGCACCTGTCATCCTGTCGTGCCTGTTATGCCTGTCATGCTGTCATGCCTGTCATGCTGTCATGCCTGTCATGCTGTCATGCCTGTCATGCTGTCATGCCTATCATGCTGCCGTGCCTGTCATTCTGCTATGCTGTCGTACCTGTCATACCTGTCGTACTTGTCATGCTGTCGTACATGTCATGCCTGTCGTACATATCATGCTTGTCGTACCTGTCGCACCTGTCATTCAGTCTGTACTGTCATTCAGGTCGTACCTGTCATGTTAGCTGTACCTGTCGTGCTGCCTGTACTATCTCGCCAACCGTGGTATGTACACCGCTATAGTGTATTTCTCTACCTCGTAATATTCGTTGCACCTGTCACGCCTGTCGTGATACCCTATACGTCATACCTATCACGCCTGCCGTATTTGTTGTGCCTGCCATGTTCGTATCTGTCACGGTCATGCTTGTTGTACCTGTCGCGCCTGCCGTATATGTATTGGTTGTCATGCCTATTGTGCCAGTCATACCTGCCTCATACGTCGTATGACTACGGTGGTCCGACCTCCAATCGTCATGATGGTCATTGTATGTAAGTTGGTTTTCTTTTCCATCGTCACCGTAGTCAGAGCGGCTATCTGCCATTCTGTCAAGGGTATGCACTCATGGTGGTCGCATCAGGCATAACCTTTTGTCAAAGCGCAGTTGTCAGCAGAGTGAAGAGGTCTTCCGCAACGCAGTCCGCAGTTCATCGCCGGATCGAATAACGAATGCAAATTGCTGAGTAGGCTTTGATCTCGAGGGTTCGTTGGATCGGCGTGAAGCATATCGAGTAGGTTCCATTGTGCACCTCCATTCTGAGCAACTAGGCCTGTCCCTTGTCGGGAAAGCGGCTGACAAGTTAGTGCTCATCATCAAGCGACGCGGGACGGTACGGGAGAGATGGCACAAACCCCGACCTTGTGCTCCCTGCTCAGATGCCGGACAATACCTCCTGCAGTGGAAGCGATGAAGACGTGTGTAGTCTTCACCCTGTTGCGAAGGAAACACGTCTCGCATATCCACACGATCTTGTGAGGTTGCGACCTATTGTCCTTCATTCTGAACCCGAATTGCCACCACCAGGTCCGCTCTCGAGAAGAGTCGTGACATGTCGTGAAGCCGGGAATCGCTCGAATTTATCAGTCGTCCAAGCCTCATAGGCTGGAAACCTGTTGGGTGCATGGCTAGTTGAGGCCGAACTGGTTGACAGCTGAGAAGAAGGCGGCGGCGGCGTGGAGGTGACGTCCTCGACCTCTTCATCGAAAGAGTCCATGATATAAGGATTGGCAAATGCCCACAAAGAGTGCAAAGGTCAACCTGAAGGCTGCGGCACTGGCAGGTGCCGAAAATATGGTGCTTACTTGGACATGTTGGGTCGATTGAGCAGAGCGACTGGACCAGCAGCCAAGGACACGAAGGCCATTGGGCAAGTACAGAGAATCCGCTCTCCCTCTGAATTGGCCCTCAGCACGGTCGTCCGAGACGCGTTTGTCTTGCGTTTGTGTGTGGCTGTTGCGGCTGATGTAGGTGGCTTTGCATGCGGATGACCGTCCTGGCCGACGGGTGGTGGAGAATGGTCCCGCAGCCACCTGATCGGGCCTCGGCCGGGCACTCGGCTGAGTGTTGCCCAGTGTACGTGACGATCGACGATCATATCGATCGATTGAACATCGAATCGATGCGTTATCGATCGAGTAAGAGCTATAATTGATCGATATCGATCGACCGACAGCTATGATCGATCGATCGAGATCGAAATGGAAATCGATTAATCGAATCTATCAAATCGATTGGTCGATCGATTTGGAAGCCTGCGCTGTCCTGTCGTTCCCGTCGGTCTTGACCCTGCCGCCGAGAACGAAGCTTGCCTCATCCTGCCCTACTCTACCCCTTGCCCCCTCTCATCCGCATCAGGTCTCTTCGGCAATTGCCACCATGGATAGTTATCCGACATCATCCCAGACATGCCGCAGGTAAATGGTAGGAGTACAATCATTATCGTGTATAAACCAGCCCTTTTCAACTTGACGTGGGCTATGAAACAGACGGAAATATTCAGTAGGCGCGTCGCATAATAACACAGTAGTCCAGACATGACGTACCGTATTTTGCATAGTACTTGATCCAATCGAACGCCTTTGGCTTAGTCATTGATTGATGCGCGTGGCAAAGAGCGAATGCTGGTCTCCTGGGAAATGTAGGAGCGGAGTCAGATCAACATTGAGGAGTTTGTAATGCAAGCCAAATAATAAATGAATGAAGGAGAGAAAAGCTTGAAAACTGGAGAATAAGTACGCGGGGAATTAAGGTGTTCAACTGACATCATATCTACCATGCATCAGGCTGGCACGTCATACATAGTTGCAGGCATAAGTTTCGAGACAGGAACAAGTTTTTTGAGCTAATTTGCCCCGCTCACAAGTACCTGTCAGACAACCAAGGATCCTGATTGGCTATTATGGCAATAGGCCAAGATCAACCCCGGACGGGATCGAGTGCGGGGTGCCTGAACAAGAGGAGCAACGAACACAAGAACATCACCATCAATACGAGCATAGATTTCTCGTGACATTAGATCACCCTTTCCAAGACGTCGAGTTGCCCTGATCAGGGCACGTACGTCTGACAGTACCCAGCTCGTAGGTCGTCGTGCTGCGTAACCAGAGCCCGTGCCTTGAACCCCATGTCAGGAACTGGACCAGGTATTGAAACGGCAATTGATAGGGGTGCCGCACGATTTTGATACGGGTGCCGCAAGCTTACGGGTGCCGCACTTTCTACAGCCCCTCATTGGTCACGAACTTGCCGGTCCGCCAGACAACCCGCGGTGAAGAAAGTCTGCTCCACTACGCGTTAACAGACTCTTGGGATCCCCCTATTACGGTGGGCGATAGGGGGGACTGTTGCAAAACTCCCGGTCGTATCTATTTGGGTTTAGGGGCTCGGCCCCTTAGTCATCGGAGTACTTTGGGTTGGTCGGAGAAATGTACTGCGGACTAGCAGCGGGCTCGCGCGGTTGCCTTCAGCCAGTCGAATTTCCCAGTCACCACCACATCAAGTGAATGCTGAACATTTGCCATTCCACAGATGCTTACACCACCATACCCAGGACACAATTTCAGTCGACTTTTTCCAAACAAACTCACTACCTAAACTTGGCTTTCTATTTCACAATTGAAACTCGCCTATCTCAGACATCGCAAAAGCCAAGCTGCCCATTCCTCATCCATTCGCGATGAGAGGCAACTTGGTGAGCCGATTAGGGTCAACGCAGTAATCCCGCTACTGACCAGCAGCGGACTAGCGCAGAAACCTCCTGCTTAAATGAGCCTAGCGATCTTATTTATTCACCATAGGGAAGGGCGATATTGTTGTTCTTGTTAAATTAAAACCTCAGTGGAAACCAGTCCTCCCCCTTTTCTCCCTTTCTGAAGTTCACCTCCTCTCTTCTACCGAAATGGGCCCTCCCAAGATCCCCCCCGAGCATGTCTACTGTGTCCAAGCCGGAAAGAAGCACTATGAACTCTTCACCACCACATATGTTGGCGCGAACTATTGCGGCCGTTGCGGCTTGGCCAACCCCTTTCGGCTCCAGCACCAAGCCAGGTCCAAAACCCCGGCACTTCCGGGTCCGTACGATGAGGTGGTGGACGTTGAGGACTCTCCACCGCCACGGCCAGTCAGCCCAGCAAGCCAGTTGCTGCGTGACAGATCGAAGCCCCTTTCATCCGTCGGCATTGGACGCATAGCTCAACACCTGCCTAACGAAGAGTCTACTCTTGGCGCGATGAATACACGGGCACGCATACCTCCTCCTGAGTTGTCAAGCAGTCCCCAGTTTGTGACTGTGGCATCAGCAGCCAGCCGGGCCATTCAGAATTCAAAGGCCAACACCAGAAAGCCCACGAGGCATCGGACGGGGTACCAGTGGGTACATATCAGCCTCCTGCTTGTGAGACTGGAGACCAGGTACTTCAACGGCCTTGCAGTGGAGGTACCGGAGACGGTGCTGCCGCTGAAAGACACGGTGATCAAGTTTTCCTCGGCAGATTTACTGACGTGGCCCTCATTCACCGCCATCTTGTTCGAACATCTCCGTCCGCTGCCACCCGCCATCGATCTTACGAACAGAGACCTCTGGAGCCTTTCTTACGCCTCGAGTTTCTCTGGCAAGAAGATCGTCACCGTTCCCAACACCGACAAGTACACGACTCCGTCGAGTATGCTCGCCTCGGGGCACTTCGGTAACAATCAGGCCGGACAGTTGAAGGTGCTAGTCGTCCTTACATCCACGGATGTAGTCGATAAACAGGAGCCAGTCACACCGTTGAGGCCGGATGAATACGCAACACCAGTCAAGGAAGAGAAGAAACGGAAGGTCAAGCAAGAAGACACAAGCCCTGCCCCAAATCGCAAAAAGCGCATCAAGCAGGAGGAACATGTCAAGAAAGAGGGTAGCGCTGGGAACACGGATCGGGTCAAGCAGGAGGTACACATCAAGATGAAGCCGGAAGAGCCTATCCCGACTGCCTCCTACCAGAGTCCGACAGACGACGAGCTTGAGAGTATTGCTGACGAGATCGTTGTACATGAAGATGTGGTAGATCTATGTGAAGTGGAAGATCCGCTCCATGATCTAATGCTTGATAGCATCCCTGGCCATAAGGGGAGCGGGGATATGGTAGATGACGGCGACGAAGCAGACGAAAAAGATGGCGAGCATGTTGTGGTCCCGGAGTTCGTAAGAGACCAAATGATCCCTTCCCGAGTCAAGTGCTGACACTAATAGGTAACTCTGATGTCACTTCCTCAAAGCTTTGGGGGTGACCAGGCTCGACTGTCCGATACTGCTATTGCTGGGGCGCGTCCGCCAGCACACTCCACACGCTTCAAAGGAACGAAGATTCCGGCAACATTTGTTGTTCGACATAAGAAGAGTAGGGATTGACTACTCGGGTTCCCCATTTGGACGGTCGCTATCCTCGCCGTCATCACTTATTCCCTCCACGTCGTTTCCTTCTTCATCCTCATATCCCAATTCAACAAGTGGTTGCTCTGCTGGTTCCCCATCTCCAAGCTCATCTTGGCGGGCCTGATTTGCTCGCTGGTATAACGCTTGCTAGACGCTTTTAGATTGGTTACACCGCGAAGAGACGATATGGCTTACGTATTCTGCGACGCCCCCCGTTGGCGCTTTACGATATGCAAGTACGGGCTGCCGGCCGCTTTCGATGTGTTGAATAATCCTGTCTCGGAGGCCAAGGTAAAAACGCTTGAAAGGCCGCAACTTGTCCGGCTCCTGGAGAGTCCCAAGGACTGCATTGTCGTACCCCATTTCGACGAGAATTTTGCGGCACCAATCTTTCGTATCTGGCTCCAAACATGTGTTGATATCGATATCAGCCAATGGCTGCTGCATTTCGTCGAGGACAGAGCGATCAACAGGGATGCCCCAGTTGCATGCCTTGTCCGGATCTGGGTAATGGTAGTTCATCCAGGGCTGGCCGTGGACCACGTGGGGTCGGTTCTTCTGAAGGCGGATTCGATGAAGATTCCACGCCTCCACAAAGTCGAAGAGCTCTTGGCGTAGTATGTCTTTGAAGACGGCGTACATGGCGATCTGATCCTCCAGCATGTCACCGTCGAAGTCCCCGTCCCTGGCGAGCTCCCCAAAGTAGTCAACCCACTGCCGGGAAGACACATGCAGCATGCGCTCCCACCAGCTTTCGATCTTGACATTCTTCGTACTTGGGGCTGCCTTGTACGAGTCCTTCAGGCGCTTCCCTTGCTGGAAAACCCGTCCATTCCACTCCACGCGCCCATCTGCGGCCATAGCAAAGTTCCAATGGGCTGCTGCGATCAGTGGCGTTTCGCTGCCTTTGTCTGCCTGCAGATACCATGGCCGGAAGCCGTAGGCGTCACACGCTGTTAAATACTGCTTCAGGACGCTCAAACCAGTTGAAGCAGAATGACCGACGTAGAACCAGATGATGTTGCGTGAGTAAGCGTCAATTGCGGCGTATATCTCGAATCCATACGCCTTGAGCTTGTCATGGCCGTCAATGCACCATTGATAATTCGGCCCTGGCACAAGGAACTGTCCCTTCTTCCGCCGAAACATCCTTTTCCGGATATCGACCTCATTTGGGAACATGATCTTGTACATCGCAAAGAGAGGGTCTCTTGGTACCCAGAGCTGCTTTTGCTGACGAAGATATGGCTGAAGAAGGCTTTTACCATATCCGGAAATGGCATTGGATCGTCGTGTCATTTCGATGATGACTTGCTCTGTCTTCTCCAGCAGCGCAAGACGTTCTTCGTCGCTATTGATCCTACGTACCCAGCGGCGGTCTGGGTGGAGCCTGATACGCTTCAGACCTTCTTTGGTGATCGGCCAGCCCTGTCGCTGTAGAACGCTCAATGTCTGCTTTTCACTGAGCCCAACGCGGAATATCAGGTCGCGGGTAGCCTCTATCAGCTCTGGGCTTTCTTTGGTACGAGCTTGCTGGCGTGGGAGATCCCAGCTTGCGATTCGGCGAGAGATTGTGCTAAGATTGACGGTGACATGATGATGCTTCCTAAGTTTATACTGAATCCTGCGTCGCGAAACACCGTTGAGGTAAAGATGAGTGACGTAGTCACGATGTTGATCGATTGAGCTGGGAGGACGTGCCATTTTTTGGAGCAGGAGAAGCCGCAATAGGGGGTGGGTGAAATTCTGAATTCTGAAAACAGAAAAAAGGGGGCGGCGCACGATGGTTATCCGCACTAATCCGCAGCGGTATTGCGACTGGCCCGCAGCGGTGACATGCCCGGAAAAGCTTAGCGTCACGTTGATCATTGGTGGAAGCCGACCAAACCAGGGGTAGGACCAATACTTACAGAACCCTAGATCCCTTCCAAACGTCATTCCACCTTCCCTTTCATACCGTCACGTCCGTGGGAAAGCTCATAGTCAACAACGGCGTCATGCCCACGGTCAATCCCGATATCGTTAGCGAGACTGGCGGCTCTCTCGGCCGGAACGCTGAGGTGCAGAGGAGGAGAAGGTTGATTCAACCCAGCGTCCGTAAACCCGCTGCCAAGATTACCGTACGATCAGCAAGACCTCTTGCGAAGCCACAGATGCTGACTTGCCCATCCGAGCAAAAGAAGAAACAGACGAAGAAGGTTCCTCCCCGCGGCTCAATCCGTGACTTTCCATGCCGGCAGTGCGTCGCCCGCGCCAACAAGGCTCCCGGCCATGAATGCGCCTCCCAAAACAGTACGTTTGAATTTCCGAGGCTATACACCTCGTACGCTGACCTCCACGGCGCAGATACGGGTGCTGCGTGCTGGGACTGCGCAAAGAACGGCCACACATGCAGGCCGGTAAGACATTTCTGCTTTCTGTCAAGTAGCAGGCCACTAACCAAGCTGCGTATCTAGGTCCCTGATGTGGCTCTTGCTGCCGTGCGTGCCTTTTGGGACCTGAACCGGCAGCTCAGCGGCGCGCACGATGAACCGGACGAGGCCTGGCGTGCTGCTGCGCAGCGGGCAGCACAACAATTACGAGCTTGCGGCAGTGGTGCGGTCTCTCCTGGTACTCCACGACCAGCTCCTGCCTTGGCTTCGTTTGGCGAAGTAGCTTCGAGGAGCTTCGAGGAAAGAAAGCTTACAGCGCTGGAGACAATCGCTGACGCTGCTCGGCTCTGGATTGTGAGCATGGCCAGGTCGTCAGATGCAAGTTCGTGTACTGACTCCTTGTCCAGCAGCTCAATCAACCGGACGATGAGGAGGAGGATGGGGAGGAGGACTAGGAAAACAAGGGAAACTGGGCAGTGCGGTTTCAAATCCGACTCCCACATGATGCTGCACCTTGCTTTGAAGAGGTTGAAATATCATCTGCTGGTTCGTAGCGGACTCGCGGCTACCACAACATATTCGGTGCTATGCCCAAAATTCAGGAAAATCAAGCGGAGGTACAAAGAGAGATGTACTGCGGGACCAAGCGCCTATGCTGCTAACCCGATTTGGCACTTTTGGAGTGATTTCGGGGGTTTTGCAACAGTCACCCCTATAGCCTGCCGTACCCTATCACAGTGGGTTTCGCGGATGGGCCTTCGCTGGAATGGATCTGGCAATTTGGGCCGTGGACGGTTCGTATAACGCACATCACGGGCGAGTGGACCACCTCAACCAACTTTCACGATCAATTGGACCAACAACTCAACAATCACGCAGCTAATTCAATTGAAATTCATTTTTCGCTATCCTCTGGCTCTGGGAGAACTAGCTGACAAGTTCTTGCGTTGTGACCGGTCTTTCCGCAGACGCCACAGCAGCGTTTCCTCGGAGCCGACCGTGTCGACACACTTGGATTTTGTAGCGTTTCCTCCATCATCTGCGGATCTACCTCTCTCTGAATGTTCTGGTCTTGTCCTTCGCCTTGCGTCATGCTCCCTCCATGCCGGAGACGTACTTTTTTGGCTCTGCGACGCCGGCTTAGTACTGCATTTTCCTCTCGAAGATGATTGACCTCCTTCCCCACCAGGGTATAGTGACGCATAATCGCTTGCGCCCCCTTCGTAAACTGGTCGACAGCCTCAAGTATTGATGTTGGAGAGCTTCCCTGGTGACGGGAGATTCGATTTTTAATGAAATCAGACTGTGAAGAGGCCTCTTTGGTGGTTGTTGGGGTCCGACTTATCCAAGGTTCCTGCCCGCCATGAGGTGATGATGGAGGCGTCGGCGTCTTTAAGCTCACATCCAGCTTCGAGAGAACTGCTTCTGGATCGAAAGGCATAATTCCAGCCCCTCGAAAACCTCCCTGTACGTTTTTTTCGGTCATTGCATCTCGGTAAGCTGCCAAAAACGCAGGGAGGAAGTCCTCCTTACTTATGTGCGATGTACCGGCCCTCATCTTATTCTCGATTTGTCGACCATACGCCTACTTGATCGGGCCAAAACAGCCAACATCGAGAGGCTGGAGTAAGTGTGATGAATGAGGGGGCATTCGAAGTGTAAGGATCTTGTTCTCGAGGGTATATTGTCGGAATGGCTCAGAGACGTGACTTTCGTGGCCATCGAGGATGAGAAGGCGATATCCAGCGGAATTCGACCTTTCGTATGCTGATCGAAATGCTTAAGCCATTCTAGGCCAATTTCATTTGTTGTCCAGCCGTTTGGGGATTGCGACCTTCCAGTCGCGTGGAATCACGTCATCTTCATACCAACTTGAGAGGTGATATTTGCCTGAAAATACGACGAACGGCGGGACGCAGAATCCGTTTGCGCCAACGCCTTGAATAACTGTAACCCATTCCCGATTGCCTGGCTGCTTCTTCTTTACACTGGAGCGCTTTTCGGAGCTTGTAACGACGATTCCGCTATTTATAACGCCCATCTGGAAGCCAGTCTCGTCGAAGTTGTAGATATCAGTATCCGCGACACCGTATTTCGCGATTGTATCGCGTACATCCCGAAACCACGCGTTTGTAGCGACTGGATCTCCGCAAAGGGCTCTCCTATAGTCGTACGGGCGAAAGAAACGCGTCTGGAGCTCTGGTCGTCGCTTCACGAATGATGTTGCCCAATTGATCCCGACGCGTCGCGCGCCTCGCTCGTCGAGTAGGGTATTCGCCATTGCAGCCACATCCTTGGGCCGGGGAGGGTCTGCTCGGGAATCCATGTCAAGTATGTATCGAATAACAGCCTGTTCTTCTCCCTCGTTCAAATTCGCAGAATTGGAGGGCTATCGCGTCGTGAAGGAGTGCCGTTCCGTCGACGCCGGAGGGTCGTTTTCGGGACGTTGAATATGTCTGCAGCGCGTCGCATGCTAAGTTCTGGGTTTCTTTCCATAGCCTGGAGGGCAAGGATTAATTGACTTTCCTTTGAAGGCGTTTCCATCGCGTTTGGGTGAACGGTCGCCTGTAGAAGATGAGAACTAGTGATGGTCGATGAAAGTGGTCCACTCGCCCGTTATGTACGTTATCATAAAATGATAAAAAAGCGGTTACCTGTCCGTCGGAGCAGAGTCTAACATCGGACCTGTTCACCTAAACCGCGGTGTTGGGGGTCTGCGACGAAAATGAGAGCCTCTAAGCTGTACCGTCCGATCGCTGGCATGTTACAGGTGGGAAAAATAGCAACTAACGTACTCCACAAGCGAATGCCACACACAAGCGAATGCCACACCTAACCGTGACTACGCGACAATAATCCCAACATAATCTAGCACAACGCTAGAAAATCAATTGAAATCAATCGGAATCGTTTCTTAAGACCTTTTCACTTCTATCTGACAGGTGCGCGCGTTGTGTCCGGGCTGGCCGCATGTACCACAACGCCGTTCTTTCGGTTTAGTCCTCTGCTGCTGACCACTGCTCCGTCGCGTTTCCTCCTTGATCTGGACCTCCACGTCCCTCTGCGTCTGAATGTCTTGTCCCTCGGCTAGAGTTAGACTCCCTCCTTGTCTGAGACGTGTTTTCTTTGCCCTGCGGCGCCTGCTAAGTGTCTCATTCGCCGCTCGAAGTATCATGATCTCCGACTGCATCAACGCCATCTTGTGCATGATTCCTCGCGACCCCTTCGCAAGATGGTCAACAGCCTCGAAAATCGACGTCGGGGAACTATTCTGATGATGTGCGATTCGACACTTGATGAAATTAGACTGCGAGGACGCCTCGGTCGGGTTGTTGGGCGTCTTAGAAACCCAAGGGGCTAGTGCCTCGGGGACCCCCTCCTCAGGTGTTGGCGTCCGTGGTTTCACATCTAGCCTAGATATGACGCTTTCCGGGTCAAAGGGAACAATCCCAGCCCCTCGGAAACCCCCTTGGACGTTCTTTTCCGTCATAGAAGCTTGGAATGCCGCGAAAAACGCTGGTAAGAAGTCCTCCTTGGTAATGTGGGTTGTACTGGCCCGCATCAGATCCTCGATTTGTCGCCCGTACGATTTCTTGAGCGGGCCAAAGCACCCGACATCGAGAGGCTGGAGTAAATGAGATGAATGTGGAGGCATGCAGAGTGTGATGATCCTGTTCTCCTTGCAGAAGAGCTCGAAGTCTGTCGAATGGTGACTTGCATGACCATCTAGGACAAGGAGGCGATATCCACCCGCAGTTCGAGGTTTCGTGTGCTTATCGAAATGCCGAATCCATTCTAGGCCCTTCTCGTTCGTTGTCCAGCCGTTTTCGGTTGTCCCGATGGCCCAATCTTGAGGTAGGGTGCTGTTTTCATACCAGGAAGAGAGGTGATATTGGCCCGCGACGATGATGAATGGCGGGATCGTCCACCCTTGGGAATTGACGCCCTGGATCACGGTGACCCATTCTCGATTCCCAAGCTGGACTAATTTCGCGGTGGAACGTCTTCTACGCTTGTGACGACCATGCCAGTCGAGATAACGCCCATCATAAACCCAGTCTCATCGAAGTTATAGATGTCTGACTCCACGATACCATACTTCGCGATTGTGTTCCGCACAAGGTCGAACCAGCCACGAATGACGTCTGGATCTTCGCATTGGGCCCTCTGGTAGTCGTATCTCCGAGAAAAACGCGTCTTGAGTTATGGTTGTCGTCTGACGAAGTTCGACGCCCAGTTCTTTCCGACCTTAGTCGCGTCGCGTTCTGCGAGCAGTCGGTTAGCCATATCTTCCACACCAGAGAGCCGGGGAGGAAATGATCGGGAGTCCAGGTCGAGCACATATTGGACAATTGTCGATTCCTCCAGGTCCGTCAATATCCGCGTCAGAGGCGTAATATCGCGTCGTGAAGATTGGCCACGCCGTCGTCGAGCCAGTGTGCTGTCATCTACGTTGTATATCTTTGCAGCGGCCCGAGCGCTAAGATTTGGGTCTTGTTTGATAGCCTGAACGGCTAGAATTAAGCGACTCTCTTTGCTGGCTGATTCCATTGGTGTTGGTGGAGAAGAACGCGGTTGAATGTGGACGGTCGCGTGGTCGCGGTCAGGTGTGGCATTCGCTTGTGTGTGGCATTCGCTTGTGGAGTACGTTACGGAGGCACTGTTCACAAGTTAATGCTTATGTAATGCTGCATGATGAGGGTCTGATGAACAGGTCAGACCACGGAGATCCAAATAAAGCCGGGGAAAAAAAATCACCGAAAGCAAGAACCAAACTTTTGAAATCGAAAGAATCTACAGCCCCGAAACACGCCTTCTTGTGGCCGCAATGGCCTTTACGGATCCTAATGCTTTCCTCAGCATTGAATTAAGACCCGTGGAGGTCAGTTGTGCCCTCAGAGCAGGCCCCGACCACCGAAGCAACAAAGTGCACGCCACGAAAGACGACACGTCCACTGACAACAGCATCGCCGCCCCGCAGCGTTTAAATCTAAGCTAACTCCACACCTGCAACGACTGACCCCAAACGATCAACATCACCACGTCAACACTACAGCACAGACAGGTTATTAGGACTTGACGGAACAGAACGGGAAGCAGAATCGAGTAAGTCGCAAGGATCGTGGCCGTCGTGAGAAGGAAGGTGACGTGGCACTGCTCGCTGGTAGGTCGGCGAAGATATCCAACACGGCAAGTGGACAGAGGCGTAAACTCTATCGTGGCATATGGACACAAGAGGACAAGCGTGTCTCGGTTGTTCCAGGCTAGTCGGCGATGCGTCGGTCTGGGCCCTGGGACGGAGCCCGGGGTCACGGTGACCTTGGACACCCCGCTCAGGGGACCACTGGGGGGTGGAGGGGGGTGCTGCTCGGTCTTGCCCCGAAGCTTAACTGGTAGACCGATCTCACGGGGCGACGAGGAGGCTTGACCGAAACCCACTTTCGCCGGAGGCGTCTACCGGTGGTGGACTGTGCTGAGCCGGCCTGCTGGAAACTCAACTCGGACAACTCCGCCTTTGTTCGCTTCAACAGAAGCATCCTCAAGCTTCATCAACGGCTTTTCGGCATTTACATTAGGTACCATGACTATCGATACACCTGAGTATTAACAAGAAATAGGCAGTGAAGAAGTTCCACCCGGCAGCTCCCGCTCCCCACGACCGGCAGCTGTTGCACCCAAGGATTACTCCTTCGCGAACACCTGGGTCCGCCGCACCACCATATCAATCAGTTATCATACGACTCGTTGGCCTCCGCCGAGTCGAACGACATCCGCCTGTCTTTGACAAACTTGGGCCATGTATTAGAATTGAGTTGAAGAGGAAGCAACGGCTCGTATCTGCACCTGCACCTGTATTCGCGTTTGCGCCGCCAAAGGACCCTGTCACTCATCCTCCCCGCAATCCATACCCATGATATGACGATCTGCCCTGCCGTGCTGCTCCTGATTTCTGTCACATCTCAAGCTCCCCGACTTCCACCCCAGACCAGATCTGGACTCGACCCACAGCCTACGGACCCTTGTGCCTCGGCTTCCTCTCAGCTTGCTCCAGTAATCCTGGCAAGGTCAAAGCCACTCCCTGAACCGCCGTGATTAAGCGCGGGACCCGTCATCCGGGCGGGCCGTGCCCGCAGCCGTCTATCGAACGCCGTTTCTTCTTCATCCAGATCTATTCATCATCCCTTTCCTCCGGCCGTAAGGTCCTCGTTACTGTCTCGACCGGCTTGGTTCGAGGCCACGGTCCGCAAATCTTGACAACTTGCCCGAGACAAATCAGACAGTCAGCCAATCAACCGCCATCATCACTTCCCTATCCCTCCTTGTCCACTTTGCGTCTATCAGAAAAAGCACCTTTGCCTCGCATCAGCCACCAACAATCACCCACCGCGACCGTCTCTCGTCCCCCTTCCCCCCGTCGGTCCCAGCGCCAATTCCACCAGACCAACCGTGTTGCAACGTGAGAGGCCTTGCATCCTGCCGTTTGCCGTTTGCCATTTGCTCTCGCCCTCTCCCACCCCGGGCCCCTCGTGCCGTATCGCCTCGACTCGCCTCGCCTCCTCTCATTTCTCCCAGACCCGGGGCAGTCCTCGCGACGCGTTACGCAGCCTTTGCTTTAAGCCGACAGCGGTCCGCCCTTTTAGCTAGGCGTTTCGCCACCTTCGCTAGATCCTCGACATCCAGTCCTCGAGCTCCGCGTTTAACAAC